CAATCTTAGTTCTACTAAAGTGCTTCTGGGACTTGGTATTGGAGATTCCTAATCTGGGAAGGCACATCGGAACAGCCAGGTCTTCAAGTTCTTTCTGAAGACTGCCAATGTAGGGGCCTGCCTAAGATCTTTTGGGAGGGTGTTCCAGAGTCGGGGGGCCACCACAGAAAAGGCCCTGTTTCGAGTCCCCACCAAGCGCGCTTGCGACGCAGGCGGAATCACGAGCAGGGCCTTTCTGGATGAGCGAAGTGAACATGTAGGTTCATAGATGGAGATGTGGTCACGCAGGTAGGATGGTCCCAAACTGTTTAGGGCTTTGAAGGTAAGCACCTGCACCTTAAATTGGGCTCGGAAGATAAACGGCAGCCAGTGGAGCTCCTTGAACAGGAGGGTTGACCTCTCTCTGTAAGGGGCCCTGGTTAACATCCTGGCTGCTGTAATACTATCACGTAATACAGTATAATACTACCATTAATAATAATAATATGATGTTATAATTATATATTTTATATTACATGTAATATGACTAATAATATTACAGTATAATGGCATAGTACAATACAGTAATATATAATACTGATATTGTGCTATGCTAATTATATATTTTATGTATATATATCTTGTAAGCCGCTCTGAGTCCCCTTTAGGGTGAGAAGGGCAGCATATAAATGTCATAAATCAATCAATCAATCAATCAATCAATAAAATAATCATCTCTCTCCACCCTGCAGAGCCATAAGAGCTACACAATAACAAAGACACATTGACAACTTTCCATTCTCAAGCTTCATTCTCAAGCTTTGTTGTTATTGTGTCCCTTCAAGTTATTTCCTAGTCATATGGCACCCTAAAACGAACCTATCACAGAGATTTCATGTCCAGATTTGTTTAGTGGGGATTTGCCCTTGTCTTCCTCTGTGCTGAGAGAGTTTGACTTGCCTAAAACAGGTTTTTATGTTCGAGCAGGGATTTGAACCCTGATTTCCGGAGTCATAGTCCAATATTCAAACCACCACACCATGGTGGCTAATGCATTTGCTGAGGCACAAACTGCCACACAAATGCACAAATTTTTCTGAGGACCTCATCAGATCCTAGGATGCTCCCACCATGTTTTGGGGATGGAGGTCCACGCCAGCCTTCACACGATGTCGTGTGACTTCCAGCAGAGGCCCCACCCTCAATCATTGTGGATGCTTCTCTCCTAACACGGGAGCCAGCACAGGTCCTCAAAGGAAGGATGACACTTCCCATGTGTGATGGGGAAAGCATTGCCATGAGGGAGCAATGCACGGGGTAACATTCTCCCCGCTGACCCCTCTGTCCAGCAATGAAGCCAGGCAAAGTGGGACCATTGGTATTTAATTCTGTTTTAATATCTGTATGTTTGTTGATTTTAAATCATATCGAATTGCTTTTAATGGAAGCCACTGTGAGTCTCCTTTGTGGAGAGAAAAAGCAGGGTATAAATAAACATCATCATCATCATCATCATCATCATCATCAAATAAATTTAATGATGATGATCTTACTATAAAAGACTCCTAAACTCATTGGGACACATTGTAAATTATTTGAGAACAGTCTCCTAATTTTTTGTTTACAGAAATGTTCCATTATTGTAAAACTAATCAAATGCAGGAAGAGCACAGAAGAATGAGGAAGGCAACATAGAACAGGAAAAGAATAGACACAATGCTCAAGAGGAGAAGAACGTGCATTTGTTCATTACCTCTGCTGCAACTTTGTAAGAGTGAGCTGGGCATGAGGAATAGGGAGCCGTGCCAAAGGTTGTTCAAAGGCAGAGTAAATTGTGCAGGTGTTTGGAAGGCATTTCCGGCATAAAGGACAGTGAGGCCACTTTGAGAGAGCAGTAAACTTTGGGAGTGCAGAGGAGTGTGGAGCTGGAAAAGCAAAAGTCTCTTGGGGATACAATCGGATATAAGACAACGTTTCTCAACCTGGGGTTTGGGACCCCTGGGGTGGTCACCAGGGGGGGTCACCAAAGACCGTCAGAAAGCACAGTATTTTCTGTTGGTCAAGGCGGTTCTGTGTGGGAAGTTTGGCTCAATTCTATCGTTGGTGGGGCTCAGAATCCTCTTTGATTGTAGGTGAACTATAAATCCCGACAACTGCAACTCCCAAATGTCAAGGTCTGTTTTCCCCAAACTCCACCAGTGTTCACATTTGGGCATATTGAGTATTTGTGCCAAGTTTGGTCCAGATCCACCATTGGTTGAGTCCACAGTTCCCTCTGGATGTAGGTGAACTACAACTCCAAAACTGCCCATCAAACCCTTCCAGTATTTTGTGTTGGTCATGGGAGTTCTGTGTGCCAAGTTTGGTCCAATATATTTAGACAGCACAGATATCTATATAACAGAGTACATAGGAAATTGTATGTTATTGTTAATTATTGAAACATCAAATATGTTGTTATGCAATAGATTATTTTATAAATATATACAACATTCAAATACAATTTTTATTACAAGTAAATGTCTGTATTTACATAAATTTAAGGCGGGAGACATCAATCTCCTCTTAGTAAAGGCAATTCAGAGGTCCAATGTATTGACAGGATATATCTGGTGGTTCAAAAAAAATCAATCCTAAGTTTCTTGGAGGACTGTTTGTTACATATGAAGTTGTAGTAGTATCAGAGAAGGGTTCTAAGAGGTCACAGAGGTTACTACAAGGTATCCCAAGTAGTATTTCCTTGTTTCGGCATTTGTTGTGGGTACTCAATTCTCTGTTCCTTCCAGTATTACAACTTCGTATGTAACAAACAGTCCTCCAAGAAACTTAGGATTGATTTTTTTTGAACCATCAGACAGATCCTGTCAATACATTGGACCTCTGAATTGCCTTTACTAAAAAGTTTAGATCAATTCCATCATTGGTGGAGTTCGGAATGCTCTTTGATTGTAGGTGAACTATAAATCCAGAAACTACAACTCCCAAATGACAAAACCAATATCCCCCCCCCCCCCCCCCCACCACCAATATTCATATTTGGGCATATCAGGTATTTGTGCCAAATAACAGTAGCAAAATTACAGTTATGGAAGTAGCAACAAACATAATGTTATGGTTGGGGGTCACTGTATGAAGGGTCATGGCACTAGGAAGGTTGAGAAACACTGATAGAAGAAGTAGAAGTAGAAGTAGAAGTAGAAGTAGTAGTAGTAGTAGTGGTGGTGGTAGTAGCTTATTTTCTACCTCGCCTCCATCTCCCCAAAGGACTCGGGGCGGCTTACATGGGGCCAAGCCCAAGGCAAAATACAATTAAAAACAAAACAATAACAAATTAAAACAGCACAAACAGCATAAAACAGCATAACAATAATAAACAAGCATCAAAAGCAACAGCAGACTAATTTTGAAGTGGGGGGGGGGGGAGGACCACTATGTGAACTGGTTAAAGGATGAGTTGGTTCAATAGTGGATAGAAATGTATAATAGCATAGGAAATAGCATGGAAACAGAGCAATTAAACAGGATCAATTCAGCTTAACTTATATATATATAGTAATGTAATATAGGAATTCAAAATCAAGTCATGATTCAGGTCACGATACAAGTCATTTGTCATAGGAGACATCAGTTGAATGCACAACAAAACATCCACGTCTTTAATTCCTTATGGAATGTGGGTAGGGAGGGTGTCAGCCTAATCTTCCAAGGAAGGGAGTTCCAGAGATGGGGGGCCACCACTGAGAATGCCCTCTCTCTCTCATCCCCATCAACAGCACCTGAGACGGGGGTGGGAGCAAGAGAAGAGCATCCCTGGAGGATCTTAAGGACCATGTGGGCTCATAGGGGAGGATGTGATCACGAAGATAGGCAGATCCTGAACCGTTTTGAGCTTTATAGGTAATAACCTGCACCTTGAATTGGGACCGGAAACTTATTGGCAGCCAGTGGAGCTGCTTAAACAGGGGGGTTAATTTCAAGATCATAATCACGTAACAGGATATAATATTTCCTAACTATTTCTTGTTGAAGAAAAATCCTTGTTTTAATTGCCTAAATGGAGTGCATTCATTAGAAGATCAAGTTTCTGAAACAACTCTAAATGGACTGCTAACATGGCAATCATACAAGCTTCATCAGCTACATTTAAGGCATCTCATACTCTCCAGATCTTGTGGGACAGGAATGCCTATAGTCCCTCACGATTGGCTATGATGACTAATGCTATTATTTATTTATTTATTTAGTTAGTTATTTACCATATTTGTATACTGCCTTTTTCAGCCCAAAGGCAACTCAAGGCGGTTTACAGTTGGCAACAGTTCGATGCCCGGATACCATAAAATTCAGTTAAAAACATTTACCATATAATATAAAAATAAACCATACAAAATCAGTAAAAACATGTAAAACATATTTGAGTCCTGCATCTGGAGAGTACCAAATTTCCTGTCCCTGTTCTAGATGGTAAAGATGTAAGAGAAGAGAATTAAAGGGAAATAAGTGTTTTGAAAATGAAGAAAAAGTTTGTTTTGCATCTGGAAGTGAATGGGAAATGCAGGTGTAAACATTCAAATGCAAGAATTGTGGACAGTAGACTGCTAAAGTTTTTCTGTTTGGTACACTGCCCCTTTCTTTGGACTTTGGTAGACAATCTCTTCAAATCGTGCAGAACTGATGAACTAAATGATGAAATAAATCTGCTGCACAAAGCTATCATATGGTTCCCTTCACATATAAATTAGAAGAGGAGACCCACTTCTGTGAACAGAGAAGAGTATACATCTCTGGCTCATTCTTCTGGCTCTAGTGCCAGATTCTTTCTTTCTCTCCTCTTCGTTGTCTTCTCCCCATCCCCCGCTCCTTCAGGGTTTCCTCCTGTCACACACCTGATATTCAATCCTAGCCGAGTTAATGCCTCTTGCTCAGATCAGATGTGGCTTTGGGAGGGTCATGTGACAGAAGAAGGTTGCTATAAATATAGTTAAACCCTGCAATCACTCCTCCAGACGCCTTTGGGGGCATGAAGAAAAGAAAGTGAGAAAGCCATTAGGAATAAGGAAGAAGAGGGTGACAGAGAGGCCATGCCTTCTGCTGATCCGCAAGAGGGGTGCAGTACATGTCCTGTAGCAGCCTTGCCCCACTTCCGCAAAAGTTGAGTGTTGTGCTATGGATCACTCAGAGCACAAGACGGATGACAACACAAAGGACACAACATTGTGGGGTGGTGCCCCCCAGTACGACTATGTCCACTATGAACATTGCACTACTTATGGGATCCCATCCGAGGCGGGCCACGAGACCGGGGGGACTGGGGACGACATGCACTACCAAGAGAAGGCCCTCAACCACATACAGGTAGGGTGGACAACTGGGTCGGGCAATGAGCTTGCATGTTAGGCTTTCCAGTCATGGTGTGTTTTGAGCCCTGTTGTAAGATTTTGGAGGAAAATATGTGATTGTTACATAGGCTGGATCTACATTGCCATATAATCCAGTTTCATAATCCAGAGTATTGGTTTTGAACTGGATTATATGAATCTACACCACCATGTAATCCAGTTCAAGGCAGATAATCTGGTTCATAAACTGGATTGTATGGCAGTGTAGATGGGGCCATAGTCAACCAGAAGTGAAAATGTGATGTGGGAAAAATATAATATACTCAATTAATATTTTAACGATTTTTACTACAATGGCACCCACAGCAATCCAACTGAAGCCTTAAAGATTATTTGGAAGAAATGGGCTACAGTGCAAGTCCAGGCTTTGGTTCATCCTTATGAGAGATGATACTTTTGATAAAGCCATTTAACAAAGGTTTCAGCCCCTGAGACTTTGTAAACAGTTTTAACCAGCAATGTAGTCGAAATAGCTAATGTGATGGTTTCAAAAGCCAACAGAAATTCAGTCATTGGTTCTGCTTCTCCCTACACCGTCACATGCCAGATGAAAAGTAAAAGGAGGTTGATGGAATGCCTGTCGGAGGGCTAAGTTTTGTGTAAATGGATGGTGTTCAGAAACCTTTTACTGATGCCAAACTTTTCATGACCCCAACATTGAGCAAAGGGGACTGCATTTGGGCCCAGGACCCACAGTTTAAGAAACAGTCTTCTAGGGAAATTGATGTTTTAGAGTGGAAGGGCTGTTTTATGATTCTGGCTGGTATGCATTTTGGATAGATTTTTTTTTCCTGTCAGGAGTGACTTGAGAAACTGCAAGTCACTTCTGGTATGAGAGAATTGGCTGTCTGCAAGGATGTTGCTCAGGGGACACCCAGATGTTTTACCCTCCTGTGGGAGGCTCCTCTCATGTCCCCACATGGGAAGCTGGAGCTGACAGATGGGAGCTCACCCGATTTCCCAGATTCAGATCATTGGTCACCAGTCCTGCTGGCACAAGGGTTTAACCCATTGAGCCACTAGGAGTCTCCATTTTGGATAGATGATACTTTCACAGTTGGGACTGATACAGTGTGTGACTATACAAAATCATGAAATCAGTGCAGAGTATAAAAAAGGCATGCATTAAAATAATTTTAAACATTCTTACTAGTGAATCCAGAAGGCTTTAGATGTGCTTTTTGGTGAGCGAATGGGGCAGTTCTTGCACACATTTGAATTCTATTGAAAAGTTTTGATAATGGTCTTTTGTGTGCCAAACACACCTCTGTTCCTTGTTGTTATCTTTGTTGTGTTTCTTCAAGCTGACTTTGAAGTATATGTTACATAAAGAAAACCCTATCACAGGGTTTTCTTGGAGGGAAATCATTGCCTTCCTCTAAGGCAGAGATAGTGTGACTTGCCCAAGGTCATCTAGGCTCCTTCCACACAGCCGTATAAAATCCATATTGAACTGGATTATATGGCAGTGTGGACTCAGATAACCCAGTTCAGAGCAGATATTGTGGATTATCTGCCTTGATATTTTGGGTTATATGGCTGTGTGGAAGGGTCCTCAGTGGGTTTCCATGGCTGAGAAGGGATTTCAACCCAGGTCTCCAGAGTCCTAATCCACTTCTCAAACCACTTCATAAATCTGGCTCTGTTCCTTATTGAAAGAAAAAGCATAGCCCCACTGGGAATTAATGGCATAGGAAATTAGGAAATGAAGCAAAATTCCTGAGAACAATGAAAACCAGATGAAATCTAAACAAAATCTAAGGAAACACATCAGCCGTGAATCTTGGGCTTATCGGAACAGAGAATGGTTGGCACTACATCGTAGGATGAATGCGGTATGACACAATTTTCACTGCCATGGCTCAATACTATGGAACAATGGGAATTGTAATTTTACCTATTTCTTTTAGCCTTCTCCGTTGAAGGATGATGCTGCTTCACCAAACTACATCTCCTAGGATTCCATGGCATTGACCCATGGCAGTTAAAGTGAGATCAAACTGCATTAATTCTTCAATGAATATGCACCCAATGGGCCACTGCAGTTGTGAGTTTCCCTGGTATACTTAATGTTTTCTTTTTTTTCCTTTCTCTTTCTATGAGCCCATAGAAGGTGCATGTTCAAGGAACACTATGAATTTAGAAACAATAAACCAGAAGGATAATGGCTCAGTGTTTGGAGGGGAACGGACAAGCAGTGACATGAAGCATTAGAAAATGGTGTAACTGCACTCGCCCAAAATGAATAACTCATCCATGTAACAAAATCGGGTCTGGTTTGAAATATTTACCATATTTTAAACATACACACACAGATCAATATCGAGCAGGTTACACAGGGATATATCTACCCTAGACAGTCTCGAATCAGGCGTGTTTGTGCTGAATCTGTTCTGCTGGAACATCACTTCATCCTCCATATCATCAAAGCTGGTCCTTGATGTTTGCTGATGTCAGAATGGGGCTCTCCAAAGACCAGCAAGAAAAGGGGGTTGCTCTATCTCATTCTTAGGCCCCTTCTACATTGCTATATAGAATCCAGATTTGCATTGAACTGGAATATATGGCAGTGTAGCCTCATATAATCCAGTTGATAGCATAGAGTGTGGACTATCTGCAGTGTAGAAGGGGCCTTACTGATAGTCTAGGCACCTAGTTCTGATATTAGCTGATGCGAGAAGCCATTATGGCCAGGCACTTGCAGCAAGGAAGCGACCGCAGCAACTTGAGAGATGAGCCATCCACTTTCCCTGCACTAAAAGGGTGGTGGTGGGGGTGTCCATCTGTATTGGGAATTGGATCAAAATGGATCTGATTCTGGTGTCCAGGTTGCCACAAAACTTGATAATTTTTTTTTGGGGAATTTTCTATAAGCTCTGGAGTATCCCCCGACTACCTAAAGTGGGGAAAAATTGGGTTATGGCTACTTGCCACAAGTCCCTGTGCCTTGTAGATGAATTTGAGACTAGTCTGTTTTTTCTTGTTAGTATAGACAAGTTGTCAGTCTCAATTTTCTTAGTTTGACAGGTTTGTACGCACAGTAAAACAAAAACGCTGTATGCTTGGCAGAAGCATCATTTTGATACTTAAGGTGATTTATATATTCCTCACCTTCACAATAGAGACCGACTTTCCATTTTTAAATTTTTTTAAAAAAAGAAATAATGCTAAAAGAATCCTTTTGAAAGTTCACACTGATTCTGTACATATGCGCTCTTACTCAACTGCAGTCTCATAAAATTCAATCTACTCCATCATCCCATTTAATCTCTCATCCAAGAAAGGAAAAGAAGCCACAGCAGGGCTGAAGTTTGCCTGTGTCTGGCATAGGGCAACCCAGGACTGAAGCAGAGCCTTTCCTTCCTCTCTTAGGGCCCTTCCATACAGTCCTATATCCCAGAATATCACGGCAGAGAATCCCACATTACCTGAGTGTGGACTCAGATAACCCAGTTCAAAGTAGATAATGTGGGATTTTCTGCCTTGATATTCTGGAATATAGGGCTGTGTGGAAGGGCCCTTATTTGTGTCACTGCTCTAATTCTCACACCTTATCATCTCCTTTATTTTACATATTTTATTGTCCTGACGTAATAAAACAATATTCTGTACCACAGTATATTTTGGAAGCTGCCATCTTTGATAGCAACCCATCCGAGGTTTTGACAATAAGGAAGAAATTTCCTTTGTCAGAAATTTCCTTTGTCAGAAATTTCCTTTGTCAGAAGCAATGACTCTCTTTGTCATCATATCTACTGGAGCCCTCGATGGCGCAATGGGTTAAACCCTTGTGCTGGCAGGACTGCTGACCGAAAGGTCGGTGATTCTAATCCAGGGAGCAGGGTGAGCTCCCATCTATCAGCTCCAGCTTCCCATGTGGAGACATGAGAGAAGCCTCCCAAAGGATGGTAAAACATCCAGGCGTCCCCTGGGCAATGTCCTTGCAGACAGCCAATTCTCTCACACCAGAAGTGACTTGCAGTTTCTTAAGTCGCTCCTGACATGAAAAAAAAACTACTGTAGGACAAACAGTGCAGGATACATTGTGGAATTAATGCAGATTGACATCACATTGACTGCCATGGCTCAGTGCTATGGAATTCTGAGAATTATAGTTTGGTGAGTCACCGGCACTCTTTGGCAAATAAGGCTAAAGATATTGTAAAACCACAGCTACCATGATTCAAAAGCCACTATTCCTGAATGCCAAATTTCACAACTTCTCTCATAGCTTTCTATCTGTTCCTCTCCCACAATTTCAGGCCAACCTCTTTGCTCACATTCCATCCCAATGTGTGGCGTTCATATTGCATTTCAACTACGTTATTGTGAGGACAGCCCCAAATTACATGGAAATTGTATGTAAATAAGCTTTGAGGCAGATAATGACTTCACCTCCTCCAAAAAGTAGATTTGGAAGTAGTGGTTTGGAATGCCTAAATGAATATTTGCTGGCTAATTAGTTTTTATGTTGTAGACTGTCTTAAGAAGATTTTCTTTAAATAGGGGCTAATAATAATAATAATAATAATAATAATAATAATAATAATATACTTTATTTCTAGACTGCCCTCTCTCCCCAGAGGGACTCAGTGGAGTTTAATATAAAAAGGCAAACATTCAATGTCATAATTAAATCACACACTATCAAAAGATGAGAAATAAGCATTAACATGCTTTTTACAATAAAAGAATTCAGATTAAAATAGTAAGAGATACAAATACTTAGGAAAACATAATTATGCCAATAAAACATAATTGCACAAAACATATACCCTAAACAATTAAACGACCAAACTGCAAAAAGTGCCAAGCATCAGTTGTAATTCAAAGATAAACTGTAGCAGCCATAAAGTCCTCCTTCTCTGTGTATGCTAAGGTATATAGGTGTGTTTTCAGCAGTTTCTTAAAGGAGAGGAGGGTGGGGGGCATTTTAATTTCTTTAGGAAGGGAGTT